ATAAATGCGAACTGTACTTTGTTTACAAAAATACATGGACAGACGGACGGACGGACATGCATAAATCGACTCAGAATGTGATTCTATGCAGATAATCAAAAGGAACTATGGGTCTATCTCGTTTCCTTTTGCCTGTTACAAACAAATGCACAAAGACATAATACCCTGACCACCTTGTGGTGTAGGGTATAATTAGAATCCGTAGATAATGTGACAAAAATCATCAAAATACCGAATATCGGGGGGTACGGTTATATGGGGACGATCTCCTGTCATAGGCTGTAGCATCCATTGCGAACATCAAATACAAAATTTTAAACAATTCCGGTAAAATCAACAAAGTACCGAATATCGGGTGGTACCGTTATATGGGGGCTATACCAAAACGTGGACCTACATGGCCCATTTTCAATACCAAAAGTCCTGCAGGCATAATATGCATTTGTGTAAAATGTTATCAATCTACTTTTATTCCTTCGGAAGCTAGAGTAATTTCCACAGACGGATAGACGGACGGCAATTGCTAAATCGACATAGAATTTTATGCTGATCAATAATATATACACTTTGTGGGGTCTAAAATGTATATTTCGTGGTGTTACAAACGGAATGACAAACTTAATAATTCCGACCATAAAAAATCAATAATCATCCCTCACAATCCATTCACCAAAACTGTTAATGCAACCTCGAACCATAAGCCACACTGAGAAATGAAAGATTCTCAAAAATAAATATTGGGGTTTCGATGCCCCAGATGCATCAAATTACTTTGTTGAAGTTGCCTCCAAGATAAAAATTGCCACTATCAGTGAAGTGTTGTCTATTACATATTTCCGAAGTTACTATACACTAAAAATGCACGGGCATCAAAGAATTTTAATTCGAAAATTTGAAAATATGGGGAAAAGGAAGAACGTTCCTTCTCTATTTAGTTTTCTTTTCGATATAATTATCAAACATATCCGAATTTGTTGTATTATTCACGTTTTGTTATCCAAACACAAAATTTTAAAATTTTCTTCAAATTGTATTTTTATATAAATATATCTAGTCGACCAATTTCTGATTCGTTTTTTCCTATTTTGTATTACCCTCATTCAAGCACTAACAACGAAAGCCATGAAGCTTTTGTTTGAGAAAAGCATACGCCTTGTTTCGTTATTTTCAACATGCAACTTCGGTTATTACTGCACTTTCGTGTTGCCAGATTGTTAGTAGCACAGGATTATTATAGACACGAAATATGACCTCCACATCTTCCTCTCTCTCTCTCTCTCTCTGTCTCTGTCCCTCTCTTTGCATACCATATTTCCCATTGTATGATCATGTTTATTAGCCTTTGCATTAAAGTTGATTAAATTTTCAACAACCACCATCGTCGAGGAGTAGTCAACATCATCCTACCAGCAGCAGCAAAAAGACTTCATCATTGCATGCGACCAGCTGGTGTGAGCGTCGTTGCTTTTTCGTTCCATGGCTTACTACCATCCAAAGTCAGATAGCATGTGTCAGCATTGACTGACTGGCTGGTTGTCTGAAACTGGTTTGTTGGTTGGCTGGCTGTATACTAGTTAGTTCTTCCAACGACTATATTGTAAATATTATATGAGTATAATGGTAAGGCTAAGTAACAACAGTAGCGGTAAAATTACCGGAAAATCTGTATTATATTGCAGAAGACTTAACTTCCTTTGTTTTTGTGAAAATTCAAAGAACGCCATGGAAAAGTTTCAGGTGTTGCGTATACAAATTTGTTGAAAATTTGCCAACATGCGGTCAACATTGAGGTGAATCTATTTCCTTACAAAACATCCGACGGTGATGAAAATGGATATGAGTTTCGTAGGTGTTTAGAGACTTCTATATATAATATCTTCATGAGAAATGTGTAAATTGTAAAGAAATTGCATTTCATATAGATACAAGTAGTACAGAGATCTACAGGGTGAGATAAAAAACTGCAACAAAGTCAAAAGACATAATTTTTACATTTTTATACCCTACAACACTTTGTATTGGGGGTATTATAAGTTTGTTTGGGCCAAAAATTATGTAACACCTCGAAATATTGGTTTCCCACATAGGAAAGTATATATGGGTCTTCATATCTCGCCAAGCTGAGTCGATCTAGCTATGTATGTCCGTCCGTCCGCCTGTCCGTCTGTCCATGTTAATTTGTAATCACTCTACAGGTCGCAATTATGGCCCAATTCTCACGAAATTGAAAATGTAGGTGGGGTTAAGATCAGAATAGAACCCTATTTCTTTTGGAGATGATCGCATAATATTTAGGGGTTGAAATGGACAAAAAACTGAAAAATTTCCTGATTTTGCAGTTGCTCTACCATTACCATTATAGACCAATCGAAGCGAAAGTTATCATGGGGCTAGAGCTTTGGGCTGGGCAGAAGCTTTCCAATTTTGATGGTCATTGGGTAATATTTAGTGGTTGAAATAGACCATAACATTTGCCTTCAATAAAAGTCAAATTTTCCATTAAACCGCGAATATTTTGATGTCGGCGAAATCAGAAATAGACGAACAGGTCAATTTTGACCATTTCGTAGATGCCGATAGTAAAAATATCTGATATATATAGCGAAATATATACAATGTGTATATACAAAGAAAGGGAATGTTAGCTAGAATGCTTATATCTCCAGAATGGCTGGAGCGATTTTGACAAATTTTGTAAATTTAGAATGCCCTTTTGGAATAAAAGTATAAAATCTAAAAAAATCGCTTAAAAATGCCAATAATGACTTTAATATAGACTTTGTAGTATTTTGTGACATTTTTTTATTTTTTCATATTTTTTATCGAATGCGATTTTTTTCATTTGACTTATAATATTGAAGTGTATATTTTGTAATACTTTTGCACTTTACAACACAGGTTGGGGTTATTATTTATATACAGATTGCAATTATCGTCCGATCCTCACGAAAATTTTCACAAGGGTAGGGTTGGGCTCAAAAAGGGCTAGGTCTATTGTCTTCAAAGATGTCCGCAATATATTAAGGGTTGAAATGGATCAACAACTAAAAATTTTCCTGATTTTGCAGCCGTTATAAAGGTCAAAAATAGAAACCAAAGGACACGAAATCTCGCATAATGTTAGAGTTTAGGACAGCGGGTACAATGGACCACTAATTTTGTGTGAAGAAATACCAGCATTACTTACAGGCGATATCCGAAATACACAAAATGCGAACTTCTGGCTTTTTTATGCTGATTTCGTTGATAATTATAGCTAAATATCGTAGACAAAAAAAGCAAATCATATAGATGAGTTTAAATTTGGATATACGGAGGCGCTTCTTGCTGTTGGAGATGATTGCAAAATATTTAGGGGTTCAAATTAACCAAAAACAGAAATGTTTTTCCGATCGCACAATTGAAGCCAATCGACACGCCTGAGGAGACAGTTAAGGACTGGGAAGAATTCTAGCATTTGGGATGACCATTGGATTATATTTAGCTATAAAATTGACCACAACAACTAAATATTGGGCAAATGTCCCTAGTCAAAATCCTAATTTCAAAAGCGAAATCTTCCAAGATGGATTTGAATATATTGCAGTGTTGTAGGGTATAACATAGCCGGTCCCGCACGACTATAGCCTTTGCTTACTTGTTTTAGTTCTATTTATTCCTATCAAGCAGCTGTTTTGTTTAAAATGTCTCTTTACTTACATTTATGCGGTTTTCTTATCAAAATTATACAAATTCTTTCCTTTCCCTTTTATTTAATTACCCACGTTTAACTATTCTGCTATTTATACCCTCCTCAAATTTATTAAAATATTTTACCTTTTGCCTGTAACTTCGAAAGTAACGAAAGAATTTACATAATTCTCTAGCAGAAAGTTTGGGAAAGAGATTAGAACTTTTACTATAGCAAACTGTCAATAAGGCTAATATAACTTTCATAATAATAGATTTCCAATATACACCACCCCAACATGGATGCCGTGTGGCAATTGGTGAGACAGACGTGAGAAAAGTTTAGACTCTAATAACTATTTGGTAAACGGATATGTGGGTTAGAGTACGTCATTCAAATCAATGTTATAAAATTAAAATATTGAGAAGAATAGCAAATTGATGTTTGAGAATGTATGCTACACTCAATCTAAATTTAAAATTGTGATATAATAATACATATTTATATAAGTGAAAATAATTAAAACAGACAGTCTGAAAATTTGATGTTGCGTTTGTTTTAGAAAACAGATAGCGGTTTTGCAATCGTGCTACCTGTGGTCGTCTGTTATCCAATTTTAGCTTAGGAATGACATTAAAGAGCATGCGAAACTTAATAAATGTTTTTGTGTGACCTGATGTTCGATTTTGTTTTGTGGTAGCATGTCAATAATTGTGGGAGAGTAATTTTCAGATATTACATCAAACCATTAAAAAACTTGTTTTTGTGTATTTGTAGAACTGGAACTCATCAGCTCATCACCAAAGTGTTTTATGGGGATTTGTGAAACTGGATCATGTTTTTGGGCCCATTCCCATTGAAGTTCCATTGTTTGGGGTCCATCACCATGGAAGTTCCATTGTTTGGGGGGGCTTTACCTACATTGAATATTTTTGGAAAAATTTACCAAAAATCAAATAACACCTGATTTGGTTGGCAATTGATTAACATCAACTAACATGATTAACAGTAATTAAGATTAACCATCAACATATCGAAAATCAAGAGGTATGCTATATCATATATGTGTTGAAATTTCCGAAGTGATGATATACAGAGGTCCCTAAACAAATGTGTCTGGGAGTTTAAAAAATTTTCAGGGCCTGCTTTATTTACTTTCTTATGTGATGTGAAACTTTTCTTCATGTATTACATATATAACAACTCTTAAAATATTGTATTTTGTTTTAAAATTAAAAAAAAAATATGTTCTTACCTACAACCACAAGAACATATCTTTAAAATTCTTAACAGCAAATATTTTAATCTTATTTTCCTTCTTTATTTTCAGAGATAATCAGCTAAAGGCTCTCGTTGCGACAAATGACCAATAAAAACCCATAGGAATCAACAAGCAAAATGAAACTCGACAACTGACACTGGGAATTTTTATATGTGTTCTTCTGTGATTAAACCTATTTATTGGTAGTTTTCTTTCAAATATTAAAAATAATTATTAGCAAAATTTATAAAATCAAATTATTTAAATCAGTAACTATTTATCTATCATACAATAAAATATGAAAAACTTTTTCGTTTTAAAACACTTATACTTGTTCTCATTAATTATGAACATTAATGAAACAAAGAATTTTTCTTCATAAGATTTTATAGATATTGATATTTAGATAATTACCTTGAACAAACAAACAGAAAGCTATAACAAAAAATAAAATAAAAATATAATGTATAACACTTGTAAATATTTAAAGATAAAGAACAATAAATATAAACATTCATTAAAAACTATTGTCTATTATTTTCGGGATATTCATAGTTAAAATAAAGAATTTTTGAAAGATTATTTAAAAACCAGAAAAAAAAGTCTTAAAGTCGGGCGGGGCCGACTTTATGATACCGTACACCACTTTGCTAATTTAGTAAAGCTGCACATAACAATTTAAAGTTTATATGGGAGAATTCAATCATACACGCTATGATCATAATTATAATTTAAAGTTCAAAGAACTTAATATGCCGAAGCCTTTGTATCTTTTAAATTCGGACTTGTATTGCCCATTTGGTGCACAATTAATTTGAAATCGGATAAAAATATATATGGGAGCTATATCCAAATCAGAACCGATATCGATAAAATTTGGCAAAGATATTTCTGAGCTGCATTTGATATATTTCTCTGAATATCGTTGTTACGGAGTGCATATTATGGTTGTGGGTAACAAATATAACAAATCGGATGAATAATATATGTGGAAGCTATAGCTATATCTGAACCGATCTTCACCAAATTTGACATACTAGCTTCTAGACTTAATTCGGTCGTAAGTGCCAAATTCCATCCAATTTAGACAAATATAAGACGTTTGGTGTACAATAAAAATAAATCGGACGATGTTATGTATGTGAGATATATCCAAATCTGAACCGATCTCGATAAAATTTAGCAAATGTATTTCTGAGCTGTATTTGATATATTTCCCCAAATATTTTTGTTGCATAGTGCATATTACGGCTGCGGAGGACAAAAATAACAAATCGGATGAACAATATATATGGGAGCTATAGCTATATCTGAACCGATCTCGATAGAATTTGGCATACTTATTTTCAGGCCTAATTTGGTTGTATGTGCAAAATTTCATACTATTCGGGCTTATATTACACGTTTGGTGCACAATAAAAAAGCAAATCGGACGAAGATATATATGGGAGCTATATCTAAATTTTGACCGATTATCTCCAATTTCAATAGGGTTCGTCCTTGCCAAACAAATGATCTGTGCAAAATTTCATCTGGATAGGGCAATAAATGCGACCTGTCTTTGTTTACAAAAATAAATGGACAGACGGACGGACGGACAGACGGACATGCATAAATCGAATCATGATGTGATTCTATGCAGATCATCAAAAGGAACTATTGGTCTATCTTGTTTCCTTTTGCCTGTTACAAACAAATGCACAAAGACATAATACACTGACCACCTTGTGGTGTAGGGTATAAAAACTACTTGGAGCCGATATAAAGGGGCCAAAACGTTAACCTTTTAGCTAATTTTATACTTCAAGGATCGGATAGCGAGTCTTCAATACCAAATTTGAAACAATTTTGAAGGTAAATGTGACTAGTATTAACAAAATACCGAATATCGGTCTATATCTCAAATATCAGGTACCGAAAAATTTTATGAAAAAATATTTTTTTTTTAATTTTATTGAATGAAAGCAAAAAATGTCGGAAATAACATCAAATTTTAGAATAAGTTGAAATTTGTTGGAATTGGTCATCATTGGCATGAATTACGGCCAATGAAACGGTCACACACTGTCCGAATGTTGCTCTGCTCTATTTTCGCCCATTCCCGGCGAAGCGCTTGCTTGAGGTGATCGACACTTTGGCATTTTTTGTACCAACCTTACTTTCCAAAATACTCCAGACAAAATAGTCCAACGTATTGGTATTCGGAGATTTTGGTGGTCATTGTGCGCTGGAAATGAAGCGAGGAACCTCATTTTGTAACCATTCTTGGGTGGCGCATAGAGTGCGATGGTGCGGAGTCCTATTGGAATATTCACGGTCTGCCTACTTCCCCAATCTCCAAAATATTTTCGGCATTTATTCTGATGCCACGGTCGATTAACACGAGTGGAGAGCGACCATCTGTTATAGAGGCCCACACCATCACCATGGCCCGCGCTTGAGTTCTGGTGGCCAACCGAAGGTGAACATTTTCAGCTGACCTCTTTGGCAAGTAAACACGATCATTTTGTTTGTTTACAAACTACTGGACAACGAATGTTTTCTCATCGGAGAAAACCAAATTTGGCTGTTCACCACTTTCGGCAGAGCGAAGGAACTCTTTAGCTCTTTTGAGTCTATTTTCTTTCCGTTGCGATGTAAGTTCCTGCACTCATTTTTCAATATTTGCCGAATGAAGCATTGCGATATGTTCGGCACACGAGTCATTTTTCGGCCTCTGCGACGAGGGTTTCGATCAAGTCCCTTCTTTACTTTTCGAACCATTTCTGCTGGTGTTGCTGTTTTTTTCTGTCCGCTTCCTTCCTACGCTACTAGTATCATTTAAATGCTGGAGTGCTCAAAGAGAGGTTATGATAAAATGTATGATTTAGCCCTTGCATAAAATCGAGACATACATAAACTTATACCTACCCAAAAAACTAGTGTGAACTATCAACATTTTATTTTGCAAGGCGAAATGTTTGGATTTTTTATGTATAAATATAATCTTTCACCGAAATAATTGGTTTATCTTTTTGCAACTTTCAAGACTTTCGGTAAAGCCTACATTCCTAACTTAATTAGTAAACAAGAATACCTACTCCACGTAAAGCAAATAGCCAACCTTCGAAATTTTCTACAAAAAGAAAGTGAAAATGTGAGAATTATAAAAAGGTCACATAACCTACCGAAAATGAAAACAACTAGGTCATCATAACATTTGAGTACACACAAACATATAGATAGCCAAACATCATTCGTTGGGTCCGTATTCATCTGCCAGGAATGCCTTTTCCATTCGTTGTTTTTTTTTTATTTTTCGGTGAAAGTAGAACATGTTTCCAATGTTACCATGGCACCTCTAAAGAGATTAAAATTCAGATCTCAGCCTTAAGCTTTATACAGATGCCAGCTGTTGAAGTCACAAGAATTTGCATTTCAATTTTAAGTTTTTATACCCTACAACACTATGTGTTGGGGGTATTATAAGTTTGATTGGGCCAGAATTTATGTAACACCTCGAAATATTGGTTTCCCATATAGGAAAGTATATATGGATCTTCCTAGCTCGCCGAGCTGAGTCGATCTTGCTATGTATGTCCGTCCGTCCGTCTGTCCGTCTGTCCATGTTAATTTGTAATCACGCTACAGGTCGCAATTATGGCCCGATCCTTACGAAATTTAGCAGAAGGTGGGGTTTGGGTCAGAGTAGAACCCTATTTCTTTTGGAGATGATCGCCAAATGTTTAGGGGTTGAAATGGACCAAATACTGAAAAAATGTCGGATTTTGCAGTAGCTATACAGGTCGCAATTATAGACCAATCGGCACGGAATTTCGCAGGTAGGTAGAGTTTAGGGCAGGGAAGAAGCCTACCAATTTGGGTGGTCATCGGATAATATTTAGCGGGTAAAATAGACCATATCTTTTGAGTTGAAAAAATACAAAATTTTTCATTAAACCGCTAATATTTTAAATCCCGGCGAAATCACAAAGCCATGACAAGGTTACTTCTGATCTTTACATTGATGTTAACATCCAACAAATCGGATATAAAGCAAAATATGTGCGATATATATGTCTATCAAAGAAGATATGCTTGAAAGATCTCTTATATTTCGAGAACGGCTGAACTGATTTCGACAGTTCTCATTAAGAATGGCCTCTTGGCGGGAAAGAAAAAACGTCTAAAAAAATCGTATAAAAATATCTCTCTAAAGATGAAAATATTGATTTTGTAAAATGTTCTCATATTTTTTCAATTTTGTCATATTTTTGGCATATTTTCATTTTGAATTAAACATTTGGTAATATTTCTACAGCTAACAAAACTAAGTAGTTAGGATATCAGGATATCATATACAGATCGCATTTATGGCCCGATCCTAACGAAATTTGGCATGGGGATAAGATGAGGGTCAGAATAGAAGCCTACCCTTTTTGGAGATGATCGCCATATATTTAGGGGTTGAAATGGACCAAAAAAGCAGGGTCAGCAGGTCGTAATTATCGCCCGATCCTCACGCACATTTGAATGGGGGTTACCGGACATTGCAAAAGCCAAGCAGTTTTGGATGGCCATCCAAAAATATTCAATGTGTGAAGGAGTTTGCCAACTTTTGTAGACAAAATACGAAAATGTCCATTCCACTGACTTTTTGGAGAATTCACAAATACAGGAAAGACGCACTTCTGACTATTTCGTTAACGCTGATTTCGTTGAAGATTATAGTCAAATGTCTGTATCTCATATAGATGCGTTTCAGTCAAAAACCAATAAAAAATGTTAATCTTTTGCCACTTCTGAGAGATTATAGGTCTTTGGGAAATATTGGTTCCAGATCTAGGAAGACCATTTACGTGCAACATCTACCAATATATTGGAAATGAGCAAATTAGTTTCAGTTGCTATTATTCGAAAATTAGAGAACGAAACCTGATGGTTTTCTTTTATTATTTGTCACAATATCTTGTGGAATTCTTTCGAGTATCTCGCCTATATAAACTGTATCACTTATTATAGTGTTGTAGGGTATTCAACGGTCGGCCCCGCTCGTCTGTAGCCTTCGCTTACTTGTCTTTTTTTTTCACTTTGATTTTCTTTTAGTTTTTATTTTGTACTGAACCAAATATGAACTGAAGAAAAATATGGAGAGGCAATGAGACAAATAATACAATGAGATATATGCCCTTTGTTTTTATTTCTCCCCTTGTTTTTATTTCTAAAACGAATTTGATAGAA